TGGATGTGGGTGGGTGGGTGTGTGTGTGGGGCGAGAGTCAACATTAATATTAGTGGTGAGTGTCTGTGTGTGTGTGGGGGTGGGTGTGTGTGGGGGGCGAGAGTCAACATTAATATTAGTGGTGAGTGTCTGCCTCAGTCACAGGACTTGATGCTCAGAGAGAGAGAGAGAGTGTGTGTGTGTGTTTGTGTGTGTGGGTGGGTGTATGTGTGGGGCGAAAGTCAACATTAATATTAGTGGTGAGTGTCTGCCTCAGTCACAGGACTTGATGCTCAGAGAGAGAGAGAGTGTGTGTGTGTGTGTGTGTGTTTGGGAAGATTATCATTTATAGCTTGGTCACTTTCGTCTGACCACATTTAAATAATTCTAGCTCATTTTTAAAATGTTGACCCAATATTTACAAAAAGTTTTTCTCATGTTTTAACCACAGTTTACTAATTCAGTTTTCTTACTTTGTTCTTTTCCACAGTATCTTTAGAAACTTTTATCAAAATTGTGTGGAAAAAAAGTGGTGGCCGACGCGCGGATGTAGAGACTGCCTGGAGTGGAGATTGTCGAGAGTGAAGCGACGGCGACCCTCAACCACCCCCCACCCCCTGCCGCCCCCTCCTCCTATGTTGTCACAACGGTAGTTGTGCTGCCGCGGGGGTCGCTTGGGGGAGGGGAGCAAGGAGGAGAGGGGCTCTGCCGATCCATGTTACACTGCTCAATGTTTATTGCTCTTTTTTTTTTTCCCTCCTCTCTCTCTCTCTCTCTTTCTCGTGTCCTACACATCCACTTTTGAAACGCCGCCATGGCGAGCCGGCCTAGTGTGAGCAAACTCCTCTTGAAGCGACTGTGCGTTATGTCGGGAGATTTTGGAATGTCCACTTCTTCATGCATTTACGGGACAGGTATTTTCTGGAACTGTTGTGGTCTGTTTTTGTACAGTGGCCTTTTTGATAAATTTAATGACAGTTGAGTTATTTGTTGTTGTTCTTTTTTTTTTTTTTTCCACTCGGATATAGAAGACTTTTGTGTAACCTGTTCAAAAGAAAAAAGGAAATGTTTGTGTGGAATTTTTTTTTTTTTACATTTGATATAAAAAAAAGAGAACTGTACCAAAAACCGTATGACTTGTGACTTTTGGTTGCCTCATGACTTGTGACTTGTGAAGTGGGTGTGGTTTTTTTGAGAATGTACCCTGAGCACTGTGCGTTAAGATTGACCATAGGCCTTGTCTGTATGTGCCGCGCGACTGCGTAAGTGTGTGTGTTTACACGTGCGTGCGTTCGTGCGTGTGTAACTGTGTGTCTGGAGTCGTGGTGGAGAACTATTTTGTGATACTTTTGCACAAAACTGATGATGTTGTCTGGTACGGTGGAGCGTGCACTGCTGGGCGTTGTCCTCCGTCAGCGTGTGTCGCTTGAGAGAACGGGGATTGACGTACGTTCCTCCATTCGTGTGTGGCTGTACAGAGCAGGAGCAGACCGGAGGAGAGAGAGAGAGAGAGAGACAGCCCCCGAGTCACAATGGTGGGGAGGGTGGAGACGGTTCGGACCTGTCGTCTGATTTGTTGTTTGTTCTTTTCCTTGTTCTTTTATATACAACACATATATAAATATAAATATATATATATAAATATATAATTATATTAAAACTGATTTTAAAATACCAGATTTTTAACGTGAATGCTGTACTTACAATTTTTTGAGTGTGGAGTACGGTGGAGTTTGCTCAAACCAAACACATGCGGTGACCCCGAAAAGAGCGGCCGTAAACAGAAAGAAGATAAAATCCCTGATTTTTTTTCTTCTTCCACTTTAATTTGAGTAACTTCTGTAAACCAAAAGCCGCTGCTAAAAATCGACTAAAATCCCGCAAAAATGTCTTGGTTTAAGCAGACTCCGCTGTAGTTTTGTTTTAGCTTGGCCTAGCGTGCGGGAGAAAATGCTTTCAGCCGTCAACTCGTGTTTCCCTGCCAGAGACTGCAGCCCACGACCCACGACTTGTTCTCTCTGTTGTCCCTTAGACTTCATTCATACCAATTTCCCCCCCAACCCCCACCCGCCCACCCACCACTCACTTGTCCATTCCCTTCGTAGATTTGGTTTTATTCCTTTTGCTAGATGGTTTTGTGCACAGTGAAAAAGAGTTAAGTTATGAGGGACAGAGATAGAGAGGGGGGTAATGAGGTACAAAGATAGAGAGAAGGAATTAATGAGGTACAAAGATAGAGAGAAGGAATTAATGAGGTACAAAGATAGAGAAGGAATTGATGAGGTACAAAGATAGAGAAGCAATTAATGAGGTACAAAGATAGAGAAGGAATTAATGAGGTACAAAAATCTATAGAGAAGGAATTAATGAGGTACAAAATTAGAACGGGAATGCATGGGGATGAAGACGAGACTCAATGAAGCTGGGTCAGCAGTGTGTTTGATGCACAGCCCACCCCACCCCCTCCCCCTCCCGCCCTCTGTACCTGTACAGTTTGTTCACACAGCAGCATCAGGAAAGGGAGAGTGTGGTGCAAGTAACATGTTCTGCAGGATTTGTTTCTATATATGGAAATGTTCCGATATTGTCACAGTTTTAATTGTTTTAACCAAATATTTATTGTTCTATTTACACATCTGGTTATTCTTAAAAGCTGCTTTGTTCAGACTCGAAATTTTCAAACCGTCATGTTGGAATGTATTTATCCCTTTATTCTATAGTTAGGCTGCAATTTTAGTGGCCAGTCGCAATGTTTGAAGGGGGAGTAGGGAAATTACCTCTTTTTATTAAACCTCAGGCAGTCTGTGGAATTACTGAGTGATCATTTTGTTTGAAGATAGGCTCTGTGAAGGGTGCAAGGTGAGAGGAGGAGGAGAGTGGGACAACGGAACAGTGAGCCAGGAGGTGCTGTTGTCACCTGTCAGAACTCTCAACTATGGCTCAGGGGATTGGGGGGGGGGTTAGGAGGAGAAGAGAAGGGAGGGAGAGCAACAACAAATTCTGGTAACATCAAGAAGTATGAAATGTTGTTGAGGTGCAGTATGTGTAACCTGTGGTCTGTCTGGGTGTGTATAGACAGCAGTGAGAGTGGGAGGGTGTGTGGAGGGATGTCAAGGGAAGTCGGCTTCGTGTGGCCCAACAGTTGGTGGTTCCTTTGCCAAATGGGAAATATATCCAAGAATAGGACGTCATTTTGTTGTCATTGAACTAGATCATAAATTTTTAACTGAAAAAAGGTTACATTTGTTTGTGTCTTTAGAGATCCATGCAGTGAGTGAGAGAGAGGGACAGAGGGTGGGAGGGGGTGATTATAATTGAAATATATACATATATATATATATCCTACACTTTCACGTATGTTTAAATTCTGGTAACATCAAGAAGTTTGAAATTGAAATGCCCAAAGGGCTACTAGTTTTGGATTTGGCTTCTGGAAGAGGTTATACTGAAAATGAAATGGGGAGGTGTTGTTGATGGATCCCTGTAACTGGCACTGTGGTAGATGTGACTCTTGTTGCTGGTCGCAGTAGTCCCCC